AAAATATGGCCATGGATAGCCATTTGGGAGTGGAGAATTTGAGACCTTCAAACCAATGTAAGAGGGCATAAAAAACCACAATCCTAACCTTGAGCCTAACAAGATACATAAGCCTCCGCTACAGTTAAACGTCAAACCACTTGTATTGGTGGCTATATGCCAAAATTAAGGGCAAATTTTATAAGAATTTATGAGCAGATATAGTGACTACACTAGCAATAAATATAAATTTAAAGTTTCAATTGTAGCAATTTTGAAATTGAGACTTCTAATTGATGATATTTATTATTTTTGTTTGGATATATCTTAGAAATAAGGTAATAATCTATTACTTTTAAGATTAAACAAGCATATCTAGATATATGTTGGCCTAGCGAGTTGTGAGACTTACCATTTTTAGGTTTAACTAAACACTAAACCTAGATTTAAATAAATCTAGCAAGTTATTAAATTCACCATCTTTTGGCACAGTCAATTGCTAAGCTAAGTGTATGTTTTTTTTAACTCCAAATAATCTTGGGCTTCCTATTTAAACTATCATTCAGAGATATTTTATTCTAATAAATCAAAAATATTTTATCCTAATAGCTTATAGATATTTTATCCTTCAAAAGAGGAGATATCATTTATCTTCATTAAATAAAGCTTTATAAGCTATATATATAAAGGTTCAGTTTTTCTCCATTACAAATGACATAACTATTTTTAGGGTTTTCTTTTAAATTGTAACTGTCTTTTCTCTTATACGATACTTATTTAATCATCAAAGAGTCCTTGAATATATAAAAATGGATCTTTTGCAGGTATCAAATATGATCTACTAGTCATATCGCCTAGAAATGACAAATTAGATTGTCAAAACCAGGAGATTAACCAAATATCTTAGATATCAGCTTGGCCCACAAACCCCTAAGATAAATATGGACCTTAGTAATGGCACCGCCTGTGGAAAGCTGATAAAAATACCATCAATTATCATCAGAGTTACAGCCTTGAGGTTTTGAAAAACTTTTAACATGTATTAGCAGAATGTTGGTTTAAATCATACAACTTTAGAAGTTATTACAAGTCAAGGACTTCATCCAAGTTTTTGAACCTAGTAGCGTAAATTATCTCTTAGTATAGGGGTTGTTTTATTATTCATCAATCATACTTTCACAACAGTCTGAAAAGCTATGTTGTTCTAGGAGTAATCTTTTTAGTAACTATATAAAAAACCTTTATTAGAGAAAAAAAACCTCTACTAGAGAAAAGTCATTCCCCTTGCTTTTTAAAGCTGAAATATAATGTTATTCTAGTTGATTATACTTTAAGGAGAGATAAAAATGTATTAGGGTCAATTACTAAGAATGTAAGTTTCTTGTTTATGAGTTAAATTATTCAAAGTAATGATGCTTTCTACTCTCTAGGTTCTCCTAGGGCACAATCCCCTCAACCTTCTAAGGGTGAGATGTATTCATTCTTTTTAGTGCAATGACACATTTATTTTGAGATGAATGAATGTCTTTCTAGTGTTACGACATAGTTCATCTTAAAAAGGATTAACATGGTCTCACTAGTGCAATCACATATCTCTTTAAGGATGAGATGGACACTGCCACTGCAACGGGGATGGATACGTTCTCCCCGGGACACAAGCTCCTCAAACTTCTAAGGATGAGATGATTTTACTCTCTTTAGTGTGATAACACATTTACTCTAGAAGGAATGGACATAGTCTCCCTAATATGATCGCATATCTTTCCAATGATGGTGTCGTGTCATACATAACATTCAATGACGGGTATAACTCCTAGATTGAGGGAGTTTTAGAAGTGTTGGGGAAAAACATTAAAGGGGTTAAGGAATCGTCACCTAATATCATGGTCACTAGGGCACTTAATGGTCAACAAGAGTCTAGGTAAGGAGATTAGTTGTATATGAGAAAGATGCATCACCCTTAGTGCACCATATTTATGATAAATTGCATTGTTGATTAATTTTTTTTTCTAAGATGGTATTTGTATTCCTTAATTTGTCTAAGATTTAAGAAAAGCTCCTCTTGATAAGGAGGTCCTTGTTTTATAAAATTAAAATCTTAGCCAATCTAGAGTCAAAACATAAAAAAAAAAAACTGTTTTTTTATTCAATATCATGAATACATCTTATTTGTAAGTTTATAATTTGTATATTAAAAGAAAAACAATAACATTTTGGTGTTTTCAAAATATAGATCAAATTCTCATGATTTTAATAAACTAGTTTTAAATCTAAAATGCATGCAAAATAAAAAGACTATTTTTTTCTAATTTTTAGTATGCTAATTTATGGAAAAATGATTTATTTGTTAGAAACTTGGCCATATACACACAAATAAAAATATATTTTTTTTGTATTTTTCAAAACATGGAAATTAGTTTTTGTAGTTTTTTTCTTTTATTTTAAAGAAAAACATGTATATTTAATATCAAGTCAGTATCTTATAGTATAAGTTTGCAACCCTGATATTAAGCGAAAAGGTTAAAAACACGCGAGAGACTCATAAATAATTTTAAAATGGTCCCTGAAGTTTGATAAATTTCAATTTGGTCCATGTTATTTCAATTTAAGCTCAAACATCTTAAATTGGGATAAAATTAATTAATTTTATGCACTAAGAACCCTGTCAAAAATTCTATTGAAACCCTTCAAGTTTAATGTCTTTTTTAAAGTAGTCCTTGTTTTTCAATTTGTTCTATGTAGTCTCTCTAATTAATCTTTAAACTTTGATTTTGCTCAATTTAGTCCTTGAAAAAGTTCGATATAGCCCTTAATGTTGCTCACCTTTTGTAGACAGGTCCTTGTTTTTTAATTTCTCTACTTTGGCCTTTAATTGAACCTTAAACTTTGTTTTTCTTGCAATTTCATCCCTAATTTCATCTAATTAAGTATTGTCCTTTAAAATTCTAATCTTCTCAGTTAAACCTAAATTAAGTTTCCGAAATTAATTTGTTTCATTAATTATGTCTTTAATAAAAATTATTTTGACCCATTAAAAATATAATTAAGTCTTTGCACTTAATTAATTTTTTTTAATATTGGCCTAAATTAATTTATAAACTTAATTAAACCTTTATTTAGACCCATGATTAAATCAAATTAACTTATTAAAAATCTAATTAATTCTTCAAACTTAATTTTTATGTAAACTCATCTAATATCCATTTAAGTTAACTTTCAATTTGCATTGTCTTTCACATTTAGCTTAAGTTAACTTTCAATTTGCATTGTCTTCCACATTTAGGTCTTTCAAAGGTGCAATTGAGTTTTCAATACTATTAAAGATTCAATTTGGTCTCTCTACCCCTCATTTATACATGCAGAACCCTTTTCAGTCTATTCTTACCAACCAAGTTGCTCGTTTTCTTTTTTTTTCTTTTTGTTTTTCAACCTTCTTTATCTTCTTTTTTTTATTTTTATATAAAAAAATAATTTTTGAATCTAAAATTGGGTTATGACATATAAGATGGGCACTACCTCAATAACAAGGATGGATTCGTTCTCTTCAGGGCACAAACCCCTCAATCTTCTAAGGATAGGATGTATTCACTCTTCTTGATGTGATAAGACATCTACCTTGGAAGGAATAAATGTCTTCCTAGTACTATGACACAATTTACCTTCAAAGGGATTGGCATAATCTTTCTAGTGCAATCACACTTCTCTCCAAATATAAGATGGACATTACCTTAGCAACATGGTTGAATACATTCTCTCTAAGGCAAGCCCCTCAAACTTTTAATAATGAGATGGATTCACCCTCCATGGTATGATAGCACATTTACTTAGAAAGAATGAATGTGTTCTTAATGCTACAACATATTTTACTTTAGAATGGATTGACATGGCCTTCTTAGTACGATCACATATCTCTTTAAGAATGGGATGAATATTGCCTCAATAGTGGGGACGAGTATGTTTTTCTAGAGCACAAACCTCTCAATCTTTGAAGGATAAGATGGATTCACTCTTCCTAGTACAATATCACATTTACTTTGAAAGAAATGAACAACTCCTTAGTGTTACGACATAATGCAATCGTACCTCTTTTTAAGAATGAGATGAACAATGCCTCAACAATAGGGATTGTTATGTTCTCTTTAAAGCAAAAAACCCTCAACCTTTCAAGGATAGGATAGATCAACTCTTTCTAGTGTGATGATTGCTTTGGAAGGAATAAACGTCATTGTAATGTTACAATGTAATTTATTTATCAAACATGATTTACTAGTCACCTTACCTAAAAAAAAATAGATTATATTGTCAAAACCATAAAATTAATCAAATATCATAAATACCATCTAAGCTCTCAAGCCCATGGAATAAATTTGGACCTCATCGCTAATCACTCATTCAAAATATACAATTGTCTTTTATTCTAGATTGATGTGAGGCATCGATTGAAAAATGAATGTTAAAGAGCTTCCTTTATCTCACGGGGAGATTGGTTCATCTTTATCTCAATTCTTCTAGTTTCAACAACACTATAACAAACAAGCATTTTCACTTAGTTGAAATAAGATTTTGAATAAAGATAGAAGATGAATTTTCTGTAGATAAGTTGGTATTTTAATACTGAAGAGGTTGAAAAACTTTAAATTCTAGATTTTATAGAGGATGATTTTATAAATATAAAAGAATGTGGTGTACATTTAAAAATATTTAGCTAATCCATTTTGATTATATTTTTAGAATTATTTGTTCTGTATTGAGAAAAGGACAATTAAAATACTAAAAACATGTTAATAAAAATTCATGTGTTAAAAATTTTGTTTTATATTTTTATCTCTTAAAACAAACATGTTTATATTTTTTTATTTGAGCACTCTAACAAAAAAAAACAGATGGAAAAAAATAAAAATAAAAATATTGGAAGTAGATTATTGGGCTTCTTCCGAGATTGTGAGAAAAACCTTTAGTGCATTATCAGCGGGCGTGCCCAAATGAATAGATTGGAAGCAGCTGAGAGACTGAGACGATGATTTCGAAGTAAAAAAAAAGGGTCCAAAGGAAAACTAAAAAAAAATAAAATAAAAAATCATATTTAAATTGAAAGAGCATGTGCGGTGCGCAGGGAAGGCTTGTGCTCTGTCGCTGAGTCTGATCTCTCCACCCACAACCCAACCAATCTTTTCTTTTTCTTTTCCTCGTAGATCTAAAAAAACAATGAAAGAAGGGAAATCTGCTGCTAAATTGAACAACAGTAATAATCAACAGCAACACCAGCATCAAAATGGGCACTTTTCTCCTTCCAAATTCGCCAAATTGTTGGATCCTGAAGCCTCTTGGGACAAGGTACTCTTTCTATTTGTACTGTGTTTGTAAAGTTTATAGCTTTGAACTAATGAATGCAAGCTTACATACAATATAATTTTAATGTTGCTTAAAAGTTGTGTTGTTAATTGCAGTTAATAATAATTCATTTAATTCTTGAGTAGAAATAAAAATTGGGTTATTACTTAAGAGGAGTAGTAGTGATACGCTGCTCACTACAGGATCAATTGGGAGATGTGTTGCATTGGATTAGGCAAGTTGTTGCCCTCGCTTGCGGTATGCTATGGGGTACTATCCCTTTGGTTGGCGGTATTTGGATCGGCCTGTGAGTTGTTTTTTCTTTTCACTGATCTTTCAGTTTGTGAATTCTTGCTCTTATAATACATAGTTCATTACCAAGCTTAAGTGAATATGTTGTTGTTGTTGATGTCTTGTTTCCGGGAAATAGAAGTGGCTGGTTCATGCATACATATGTGCCAGACTTAAATTTGTTTCTTTTTGTATTCTTGGTATCAATGCTAGAAAAACTAGCAGTTTAGCGTAGATTCTTTTTGTTAATAATTACTGCAGTTTTATATCTACTACACTACTTCCTTCTAGCTTAATGGATGTGAATGTCCTTTTCCTTGTCCTTTCCATATAAGTTCCATGTGAATGCTTCAAGGCAAAGCACTAATATGACTGTCACCAATATTATTTTGAATATCGTCTAGTCGTGCTTTAGATGAGTCTAGCTATTCTAGCTTCAGATTAATCTGGGGGGTTTGGATGAGTTCTCTGGCTTAGCTTGAACATCTTCGAAGCACTACATGCAAAATTTACTGCAATAAGCAAAAATATTGCATGTGCAGGACCCTTTTCCTCTGAAGAACACCAGTATTGGAATTTCATTGTAATTAAGAACCATGAATAGCAGGACATTGAAACCCATGTTGCATGATTGCTCTTTCCTTTTATGCTCTGAAGTTATACCTAGCTTGCCTAAATCTTAGCTTGTTATCTTTAGTACTTTGGTGTTTTTGTTGAAAAAATTGGTTACTTTTTGTGAACTAATCTATAGAAAAGTGTAGTTTGTGCTAGGGCATGATAATCTTTGCTGCAGAAGTTAGAATTATGTTTTTATATTAATTGTGTAGTTGGAGTTTCACTTAATCATGTTTTATGGGAGTAGCTTTTACACTCCTAGTATGACTAATCAAAGATGCAAAGACGAATAGAGAGACCAATAGTGTTTTAAGACACTGGTTGCATGGGCATTTTTATGGATGGTCCTTGAAATGAGACTGGTCACTGGTGTAGAGACATTAGCAGTTCTAAAGCGAAGGGGTTTTGCTGAACTATTAAAAAGGGACCTTGATGTGACGTGCATGATTTATCTTAAGTGCCAGTATTAGCTGAATCAAATCTCAAAGCAGTATCAATTCCATTGTTTTGATAAACAAAACCTTCTCATCAGGTCTAAGAGGTGGGCCCTGTGATACTTATAATTTAATATCTTTGAGATATACTAGGACCATATTGAGGTAGGTATTATTTGGCAGTCAGAGGCAATTTGATTCCTTTCGCCGTGTCCTCTCTCCAAACAATTAATTCCTTCTAATTACTATATATATATATATATTTTTTCATTAGAAAGAAAGTTTAAAGGTGCTTTCTCTGTTCGTCTTTTTATCCATTGAAATTGACAATTGGATAAACAGCATAGCAAGGGACCGGGACTATAGTCAGTCAGTGTGATGAGAATTCTTGCTGTTCACAAGATTATGTTTCCTTGAAGAGGAAAAAGGTTTATCAAGTGTAATGCACAGTGTTGTGACTGGCATTGTTAACTTTATGTTAGTTTCTTCTAAATCCATATCAGTGCGATTCATAATAGGAACTTCCTTCGGAGTTAAATTGCATGCGCCTCCTGTTATTATTTGAGTATTGATGGTGGGCACTGATATTGTGCTACTATGTCCATAGACACGTACACAAACAGATAAGCTAACATTCAGTGTGTAGAAATTTCTTGTACTGAGTTTCTAATTTTTGCAATCTTTTATTTTTCTCTGGCTAAATTCTTTGTTAATTTTGGTTGACAGTTTTCTGTTGATTTCCTCTGGGATTATATATGGTTATTATGCAATGATATTAAAGATCGACGAAGAAGATTTTGGTGGTCATTCAGCTCTCCTCCAAGAAGGGCTCTTTGCTTCTATCACTCTATTCCTGGTAGTTTGGCTTCTTCCTTTTCTTTTTCAATTTTTTCTTTCTCAAAAGTAGGGCTGCCTTCAAGCACAAAAAGTCAACAAAAGGAAACCTTGGTTGGTTTCCATACTAACACACCCAGCTTCATCTTTTTTGTCTATTTTACAGCTATCGTGGATTCTAGTGTACAGCCTGGCCCACTTCTGATTGGATTGATACACCAATCTGGCTGCTTCTGCCTATCTATCTTTAAGCAATATTCTTACTCTGTTAATCACAGCTACAAGGCACCACTGCTTATGCCCCGAGAACAATGAGAAAGCTGCTTGCAATTATTGTCTGTTATCTACTTTTTGATTGTGCACCATCATTTCACGTAGAATGAACATGCTAACTCTTGATTCATGGTATTTATTTTAAAGTTTCTTCACAATTTTTCCTTGAAATGTAGCGATTGATGATTTGGACACCTGACAATCAAAACTGTGGTGTGGCAAAGACATTAATTTGATAGCAAAATTGTAGTGGAGTGGAGAATGATGAATGAATGCAGTTTCAAGGGACCAAATATTATTTATTTTCTTTAGGAAAAGTACTTTGAGATTCATGTAGTACTGGTTTTTTGAACCTGACTGCATTTCAATCCATGGAATGTTTACTGTGCCATGCGTATTGTATATTGTGTGTGATTCTGTGGATTACCTTCCCCTTTCCACTTGCTATTTTCTATCCTTGTTATTTTCAATGGGGTTTAATCAGTTGAGTTTTTAACAATAATTTCAGTTTTGACAGATTAGAGACGATTACCACTTTTCATGTTCTTGCTAAAAAAAGAGTCAGATCACCCTGGAGCAGTTCTGGATGGCAACAATGTCTGGCATTTTTTTTTTTTTGCCTTTTTTTTTTAATTGTTCTAGTTTTTCCCTTGTAGGTGAATTGTGCAATTGGATAATGAAACTTTCCCTTTGCATGAGGCTCCCGCTCTCGCAAAGGCTAATTCGCTTTTGAAGCATTGCTAGAAATAAGTTTCTGTTCATTGTTGTGAACCCATTTCGTTTATTTGAAGCCAATTTTGATCCATTCCGGCGTCTCACCTCGCCGCAAAAACAGAATATTATAACTTGGGCTGTCTCAAAAATACCCAGATAACGAAGAACCGATCCCAACTCGCTCAAATGTTGCTGGCCTCTCTCAGATTTCTTCGTGAGTGGTTGTTCTTTCTTGTATAGTGTGTGCACATGTGATGGCTATGGCATTTCAAAAGCTACCCAGAAGCCAAGGGAGAGAGAATGGATTTTTATTATGATTTGGACATGCAGGCATCTAGCTGGAAAAATTCTATTATTGAAAAGCAGTCGCAAAACATAAACTTTTGATAGGTTTTTACGACCTTCAGACCTTTCTACAATAGCAAATGGGAAGTGGTTCGTTGATTTGTAACAGGTTGTTTCAGAATTGTTTCAATTTAGCCACTAAAACAAGAATATATATATATATATATATATGAGGAGGAAAGAATCATTATTTTGTACACAGCCGCTCCAGAAGCCATGTTTCAGGCTGAGATCTTACTTCAGTCTTTGATGTCTTCGAGATACAAGGTATATGCGCCCAAACACCCACCGTCTACCTACTCTTGAAATGGTTTGCTGCAAATGGATACCAATCATGTGAATCGGATAATTGTTTTCTATAGTCTTGTTTTGTTTCTTGAATTTGTTTCTTCTATTTTTTTTAAGTTCATCAAATCAGATTAATAACAAGCACATCTTACTTGGTGCAAAACGGTGGCTAGCTTATACAGTTTCAATATGCAAAACCTTGTATGCCTAGTCTCTGAATGAAGGTGGTTGTTCGATGTAAAGATAAAAGGTCTTGGAAATGCATTAGTTGGAGGCTCAGAATCTGATGCAAAACTTCGTAATGAAAGAATATTTCCAACCCTCTATCCCAGAGCCCCACATTGAATGGGACCATAATTGAGTAATAACCCTTCGGGAGAATGCGAGATGCAAAATGCAAAATGCAGTACCATGATTTGTATGTGCTTCCTTATAACAAGAAACTGTATAAATGAGATCATAAAGCAGTCTTACAATCAATATTCACATATTTAGCTCCTTAAACAAGAAACAGAATAATAATTTTGGCATCAGAAGATTAATTACCTCAACGTTGGTGCGGAATTCTAGTAAACTTTCACATACATGACAATCTGCTCGATGTGTGGAGTTGTTAGGTTGATATGATTTCACAAAGGCATATACCTGCACAAAGACACCAAAATCAATGAGAGAAGGAGCTTTCAAAGTTGATCCTGATTTTGTTAGTTGTAAACAGCTGAATACATTTCTATCGAATTGTGGATGAAAAGTGAAGTGGAAGCTTCTAAGCATTTTCATATTAATACAAGGCTTTGTTAACACGAACCTCCTCGCCACAATTTGGGCATGCTCCCTTGAGTGCCACCAAGTCATTCCTCCATAGACCTTGCAGCACCTTCACTGTGAAAATGGGTTCTCAAGTAAAAATCCATAATTTCAATTAAGTAAAAGAATTGAGATTTTTTCCCCAGTAAAGATCTATCTTCTCCTATTTAGGTTTAGGTTTTGACTGTGTTCAAGGTTTAACTAATGAATCCAATAAAAACACAGAGATAATATAAAGTCTCTCGAGCTTTTATTTTAAACACACAGACGCACAAATCCATATATGCAAATAATATTTCCTTATCATATGGCATGTTTCACTAGCCCAACCTGACATAAGGTTTTTTTATTATTATCATGAACTAGGTGGACAAAATGATCGTGTCAACAAGGTTTTCTGGCATAATAAAAAAAAAAGAAGACAATAATCGACTATGATCAATCAACAAAGATTGATCATCGACCATGATCAATCAACAAAGATTGATCATCGACCATGATCAATCAACAAAGATTGATCATCGACCATGATCGATCAATCATGATTGTCCAGTAAAAGCTATTTCAATTTCATTTCTTTTTCCTAGTTATATTAAAATTTCTTTTCTATTTAAGCCACAAAGTTTTGATTTGATTTTCCTAGAGTCAGTTTTATTTGATTTAGGTTTTTTCTTGTTTAGATTTTCTTGAATAGAAACGGATGGTTTTAAGTTCTGATATAAACAACTTTATGTATTATTAAAGAATAATCAAAATTTATGAAATAAAGATCTTTCAAAATATATCATAGTTTTCTCTAAAATCTTCTCCATGAATTAAAGGTTATGACCTAAGGGCATGAGAACCATGGTTTCTTTCTCTACAGTTTAGAGTTGTAAACTTTAAGGCTTGAGAAACCTTAACACTATACAATGTGTCAATTGGTATGAAAGTAGTTTGACCTATTCGATGAACAGAGATATTAGCTGAGTCTTCTCACCTCATGATGCAGTAGGTCATCTGGGATACTAGATACTATGAAGGCATGAGAGGCAATGTGAGACACGACACAACAAAGATTTGATCAATGAGAGCATTCTATAGCATACTTAATTGGGCAAATGGATCAAATATAAGGAGGCACAGACAAGACTCGTTAAGAGAAGAGAGATGCGCTCAAAGACTTGCCTAGAGGCAAACCAAATCCTAGGTCTATTCCTGCAAACTCATATGAGCATCATGTTTATTGAAAGAGTGGTGTATGCAATAGGCGATGCATCGATAACCCAGTTCACAGCAACCTTTCTGTAGAAGTGTTCCTAATTTTAATAAAATTCCTTTTTTATGGGAATTTTTTGAAAAGGAGATTAATTAGATGGTTGTCAGAAGTGGAGCTTACTTTTATTTAAACAAGATTACTTGTTATTTAAAAACTAGAATTTGCCATTCGTAAGCTTATTCATGGTGTTGAAGATTGGTGGTTTGAATTTCTAGAAGATAAAGCTTGTCTATAATTTCATCATGACAAATTTTGAGAAAATTATTAATCTTGAGCTTGTACAAGATGATTATGAAAGGGATCTTTTACTAGTCATTTAAGCAATCATGTCATTATTACTTGCCTTCTTTTCAACCATCACCATTAGCAAGGAGGCAAAACTTAAAGGAAATATTGTCTCTTCAAAACAGACAATCTCAGCAGCAGTGACAATAGCAGCAACAACAGTAGCAGTAGAATTATAAGGAGAAGATGAAGGACCAAGACAAGCAAACACTAGGTTTTGTCATAGAAGATGAAAAAAATGACAGCCATGAAGATGCAATGGATGAGGGATGTGTGAAACAACCTCAAGCATTAGATGTCAAAGAGGACCACAAAAAAATTGAAAAGGAAGTTTGGGAAGTCAATATTGTTGGACGGGCTCATATGGTAAAACATGAAAACATTGTTGGCGTTACCTCTACAAATGAGTCTGGACGGAAAGCATTTCTGGAAGCAAGCTTGACTTGCCATTAGAGACACTTGACAAGGTTGTATCTTCAAAAAAGCATTGAGCAACTGATGGATACTTGGTAGTATAGATTTTGATAATAGGTCAGTCAATATGTTTATGAATGAGTTCAAGAAGAATTGTAATATGGGAAAAAAGATTGCTTCCAAGTTAAAGATGCTTGCTGAAAAGTCCACAGTGGAAGGGGATAAATATCTGGTTAAATTTGAAGGTAACTTCAAAATTCTTATCTTCAATCCCCCTAGTGTCGCAAAGCTATCCTATATAGATTTTGTTGGTTTAGACTAATTTGATTATGACGTGGATATGCTATCATATAGTATGGCAAAAAGATTAAGGGTCGATTTCAAGAGCAATCGGTTTGAACAAGTTACATGAAGATTTGGAAAGAGATTGGACCAGCTAATTTATTTCAAATATTTATCCAAATGGCTTGAGAGAGTTCAGTTTCTAACCATGAACTCGATGATGAGTTCTCCTCAAATGGAAGAATGGAAAAGCCTGACATGGGGTGTTATTTTTTTAATTATGGGCCAGGTGGACAAAACAAAGCTCTAGAAGAAGTCTGAGCATGTCAACAAGGATTTCTAACAGATTCGAAAATATTAGACAATGATTGACCATGATCAATAGATAGTGATCGATTGACTAAGATCGTCCAGTAGAAGTTGTTTGAATTTTATTTCTTTTTCCTAGTTAAGTTATAGAGTTTTAATTTGATTTTTCTAGTTAGGAGTCAAAGTTTTATTTTATTTAGGTTTTTTCCGATTTAGATTTTCATGATTGGAAAGGGACAATTTAAGTTCTTATATAAACAACTTCGAATATTATGTGAAGAATAATGAGAATTTATGAAATAAAGACCTTTCAAAATACATAAGAGTTTTCTCTACAATTTTCTCCACAGTTAAGGGTTGTAACCTTAGACTTGAAAACTTCAGTTTCTTTCTCTATAATTGACAATTTGTTCCATGAACCTATAGAATGGATATGAAACTGTAAATAATAGTACACGCAGCTCAGACAAGCCACTCAAACATTTGAACTTCCAAGATTTATCCCTGACAGGTAAAGTTTTTCAGATTTGAGTATCTTTTTGAAGATTCGTCTGACATCATTCGTCTGTTTTTAAGGATCCCATATACTGGAAATTATGGAAGGTGACAAATTGAAAATTTCTCTAACTAGGGGTAAAGAGTCCTCCGTAAAATGTAACTTAAAATTCATTATTTCATAAAATTTCTTGATTACTGAATTACAGAAGATAAGGTAAATTAAAAGTTGTTACCCGAAGCAGATGCAATTGGATAGCCAATCAAAGCACTCACTGCCATAAAGAGAATACCATTAACTGTAGCGAGAAACCCAATAATAGGCGTCTGGTTGCCGTGGGATATTACCGAGCCAAATGCATCTTGGTAAGCCAGGCCAATTGTGTAGATTATAGGCAGAGCGCACGCTGAACAGCCAACTGTAAGAAACAGGATCCAAATACTTGCTAGTGCAAACGCCTGTGATATATCTGCCTGCCCTACAGCCATGCCAATCAATCTTCAAGTCGAGAGAAAAGATAGAAAGAAAATGGCCAAGCTGCATCTTACCAATTAAAATGAATAAACAACATCGAGAGAAAAAAACTTTCATAATTATCCATGATTCCCCCCCTTTATGGTGGGCATCATGCAAAACAGCAGAGAACTTCCCTGCTTGTAGTCACATATTTTTACGCATATAAAGAAACGATTCGATAGCTCATTACCTCAGCATCAGAGTATGTTGACTGTCGTCTAATACTGCAGCGAGGGTACTTGACAACACATTTGGAACCATACCACCGCAATTTTAACTGCTTCAAATAATTGTTGGGGTAAGGAATTCGAGAGCTGTCGAAACTAAAAGTTTGATCCACAAAGGTACAGAATCAAATTTTATTACCTCAACTCTATCAAACATGTCATCTATTATCAAAGGTTTACCACTGTAATATGCATCTCGTGCCTAAAACAAACATCAATTCAATACCGCACAGTCAGCCCACTTCTCCACAAAAAAAATCAATAAGATAAAAAGCATGAAACCAAAGTAACGAGAAAATGTTCAAATTAGGCCCAAAATTAAAATAATGAAGAAATCTTACGCACTTGACGATAGAGAGCTTCGAGAGTTTCTTGGCTTGCAGTCTCTATTGGGCCAACGAATAAGCAAGACGGTCCTTCCGGTGCAAGTGCAACCTTACGCGTTCTTGACATTCCATTGCTACTCGTCGCAGAAAGGCGAGCCCAACAAAATGAAGCACCCTCTCTCCCAGACCTGCTAGCTCTGTTGTAGGATGACAGCTCAATCACGTGACGAGAGATGTATGGGCACGTGCCTGCCATGCTACTCTTAGAAAACTGCAGTTGCCGAGAACAAGCGGCACCGCCTTGCTCCACTGAAATGGTTTGTGGCCAGGGAAGGAAGGAACTGGATTTTTAAATGGTTGCGATTGTTTTATGACGAGAATGCCCCCTTCTGTGGCTCTTATCTGTTGGTTTATCATGGCGCCTTGTAATTATCTCTTGCCGGCTTTTGGTTTAGTTGAGTTGAATAAATTATTCAAAATATTGAGGTAGCGTCTGTTTTGAAACAGAATGATGTGCGGCGTCAGCGCGGCTAGAAAACTGTTTGTCTGATATTTAAATTTATTTTTTTTCTAAAATTTATTTTTTTAGTATTTTAAATTTTTTTAATATCTTAATATTAAAAATAAATTTTAAAAATTATTATTTTAATATATTTTTAAATAAAAAAGTATTTTCAAGCATAACATTTACCATACGCCTAACAAGATTGAAGAATAGACATGAAATTGCGTTTTGTGAGGTTAGATTAACTTTTTATATAAAAAATGTATTCAAGTAATGTAAGTGTGTTTGGAAAAATATTTATCATTTAAATTATAGATTTAATTCAGTTAAATAAATTGTGTCTATTTAATTAGATAATAAAAAAAGCAATGACAATAAATAGGCCAATTGTTTTTTAAAACAATATCACAATAATTTGAGAAAAAATTTTTTAAAAAAAAATAAAAAAAATATCAAAATTAATTCTTAATCCATTAAATATGAAAGAATGAGATTAGAACAAAAAAAAAAATACTTAGGTTCAAACTAAATTAATATGACAAATCGATAATATAGATAATAAGGAGCGAGCTAACCGAATTAACCCATCAAACTTACAATTCAGATCATGAAATTAAGATGACCTAATAAAGAAATAAAGTAAATCAAAAAGCCCATTGAAAAAAATAATATCGAATAATAAAATCAAAAAAGAAAATAAGTTTCTCTTTTTAAAAAAAAGATTTCAACTTGTGTCAATTTTTCAACTCATAACTCAGATAATTAGACTAAAAATAATATATTTGAAAAAACTATGAAGTCTCAAATATTGAATAATGAAATTGAATAAAAAAATTTAATTATATAAAATAATCTAAAACAAATAGTAATTAAAAGAACAAGAGTCAAAATTAAAATAAAAAATAAATTAGAGAACAATTACAAAATTTTTTTTATTAAAATGTGAAATTAAAAAGAAGTATCAATTTAGCAAAAGAGACAAAAAAAAATTAAAAAGTAAAGATCAAATTGTAAAAATTAATAAATTATAAATTAAGATTTAAGGATGAAATTAAAAATAAATAAAAACTTTACAAAAAAGTAAGGAAAATAATTAGAAATAAAAATGACAAGGATCAAATTAGTAAGAAATAATATATTATAAATTTGGATTGAAGTATGAAATTGAAATAAAATAAATAAAAATGTCAAAAAAATTAAAAATTAAAATAATAAAAACTAGAATAGAAATATTAATATCTAAGAGGACAAGTATGAAAATTTAAATGGCCATCACAATTTTCAATGAAAAGAGAAGGGAAAAAAGAAGAAGAAATTATTGTCAATGATAAACTATGCCATCTTTTACGTATCAATAACTTTTTTATTAAAATATTATCTTATGTTTATTAAAAGATTAAAGTGTCATCCATCAACTTTATAATAATAATAAAAATAATAAAAGACAAAAACATTCTTGTACACAAGCTTTAAAATTTTTGATTCTAAGTGAAATTGAGTCATTTTAAATAACTGTAAAAAAAAAATTATAAAGCCTTTTTATATTAATTTTAGAATTTTATTTTTAAAGATAAATAAGTGATTTTATTGTGCTGAAGAAATAAAAAGATAACTTTTACCCCTGGTGAGGTGTATAATAACCAATTAGTATTGTAAAAGTACCAAAACACCCAAACTTCAATGCCATTGATTTTTTAGAAAAGCAAAAAGGTAACTACACTATAGTAGCATGGTGAATGTGCCTTTCCTTCAGCTTTTCTTCTCATGTGTGTGTATTTTTGTAATTTTTGTTTTGGCATTATATAAATTTACCTTAAAACCTACTGCATAGACATATTTATTTTGTCCATTAATATATTTTTAATTAAATATATCTGTGTCTTTTTTGAATTTGTCTATTCTATCCAGACACGAATTAAAAGCAACTCTAAAATTGTAATTTTCTCATAAATTAAATTTATGAGTAATGCTTTTTGTATTTTTATAAAAGAGAAAATAAAAATATAAAATCTTTGCGTCTGCCGGGAGTCGAACCCGGGTCTATTGCTTGGAAGGCAATTATCCTAACCGTTGGACTACAGACGCTGGGTTTATTTAAATCTTCGATTCCTAATAATTATTCAATATATCACAGCAGTAAACTTTTTTTATAGTATGAGTTCCACTGCGCTGTTCATAATCATATACAAGAATAAGATTGTGAGAAAAATAAAGTTTTTTAATTAGAGGTCTTTTTTCCTCTTGCATAAGGGCTGTGACAAACTTCATATTTATCAGCTAGACCTTGGACTTCCCATCTCTGCACAGAGCAAAGTTCTTGTCTTCAATGGCCTCCTGTTGCAATGCTTTTGCAAAGCCCGGGAGGCCAAGCTTACTGGCTAAATAAGCTTCACAACCCAAACTACCAAGTCAAACTGAACTCATATCAGAAGCATGGATGCAGCACAATCATATTTAGAACTCATCTGCCACATCTTTTTTGTTTCTTCTGTTCTTGTAACATGTGCTTGATTATGAGAGACCTTCAATGTTGATCCAAGATCTTTCAAAGAAAAAAAAAAGGGGGCAATGTTGTATGATAAGAATCTAATCGAAACAGTTGATGTTTCTAACTTATTTTTGTTAAAATCATTCCAATATACACTTTGAATTCGGAATAACCAAAACTTATTTATATATATAAAAAGATTGTACATTCTATCTCTTCTCTAAGATTTAAAAATCCTAATACATTATCATCTTTGACCTATCGAAGAAATGATCCCATTCATGTTTCCCTTCTGTCCCAAATAAATTTTTCTTCCAAGTATACTCTTCTATATCTTCAGAAAAATTCTTTCCAGCTTTAATATCCATCTTAATCTTCTCAACTCTTTCAAGAACCCCATCAATTGTGAGATCAAATGCATCTTTAAGGGTCTCCAATCCATAACTTGGATCAGCATACACCATGCCTGGAATCAGCTTTATAACCTCTTCTCTCATAGCCCATACTCTTTGTATAGGAATCCGAGATAACGTCCTCTCAATGCTGACTTTCTCGTCTTTTATCTTGTTTGCCGGTATGAACACGGAGTATTTAGTATAATCCCTCGGGAAATGCCATAAATACTGGGCATAAGATGAACCTGGATGGAAGAAAACTGGAATGCACCCAGCCAAGATTGAATCAAAAGTTGATCGCCTAGTATAGGAATCCCCTGGAGGCTGCAAGCAGAACGTAGAGCTTTGAAACATTTTCATCAAATTAACTGGTTCATAGCAATTGCTTGAACCGGTAATACATTCTAGCAATAGGCATTTTTCCCTTGCGGCCTGGCACTGTTCAATAATGTCACTACGGATAGAATCTGGGAGGTCAGGTCTCGGCCCACCTGCGAAAGAAAACAAGAACTGCCTTTTCAGTCTTCTCATCCTGTTTTGCCATTGAAACACTTCGTTGTCACTTGAAGGATGAAAGTATGTTGGATAGGGTACTGCAAAGTCATTGTTGTTCCACGGACTTGATTCAATAGTTAACACTGTCATGTTTCTAGATTCAGGCAAAATCATAAGCTGGTTGCCCCAGTCATTGTTGTTGTTCGTTAATCTCCTGAAATCCCAAGTGATCCTTCCAGCAACCATGAAGTGGTCACTACCCCACAATCTTTTCCACTCGGGGCTTTCTCTTAGCCACCTCACAAGATGACGAGAATAATAATCTTTCATCTTCTTGTCAGCATTCCACAGATAACGAGCAACGTCAAGCCCAGAATAGTAAGGGACAAAGATTGCTGAAGCCAATGAAGAGTCATTGGTTAAGCACTTGTATTGCTTCATTTTATGGTGGAAAATGATTTCTAGCATGAACTGGTTTGTATCATACCAGCCAGTGTTTGAGAGCGTCCTTTCCAAATTCTTTAGCTGGGGACCAAAGCCAAAGTTTGACAGGTAGGGGCACATATTAGACCATTCGTTAAGTGATTGACAATGCCTGACCAAATCACCATTGAATCGGCTTGGAAGGTTATGGATATAAATGTATCGGCCTACACATGATTCAGGATGTGAATCCGAATTGGTTTGCCTCCTTATTTGATCTTCCTTGTTAGGCTGTTCGATGACCTCCTCGATTACCTTCTCTTCTCTACGAAGTGAATGATCCACCTGTTTCTTGACCCGTTTCTCCCTTGCCGGTTTCTTGACCCGTCTCCTCCTAGCCTCTCTAGGAAGTGAATGATCAAACGGTTTTTTGACCTGGTTCTCCCTTGCTGTACTCCTTGCATTACCAGATTCTTCTCTGTTTCCTTCACCAAAGACTTTGTTGATCGATCGAGCTTCATTTTCTGTAAGATGTATTTGATTTTCCGGTTTTGATTCTTTCCCAGCATTAGATACTTCACGAAGATACTTGTCCCAATCACCACCGGTAAAAAAATTGTCGACAGGATTACCTGTTGCTTTCGTATCCATATCCATAATAGAGTCTGGTGCAACATGCCCTGTTTCTTCATTGGAATTCCAATTCACACCACCAAAACTCGATTCATTGGTATCAACAAAATTATCATAATGGTGTTTCAACAAGAAATCATCCTTCTTATCAAGTTTTGAGCCCGAATTAAAGAAGAAGTAAAGCAATAAGAACCATAAAAGAAACACGACCGTAAAATACCAGAATTTGCTGCAACCCTTTTTAATTATCGGCACCTTCTTCATCAATCCCTCTTGATCATGCATGTATCTATTCTTCTCGATAAGCACTTGCTGTAAGAAATGGGATAGAAGAGAGAATCAGCTGGGATTTGGTGTTTAAGGATATGAAAGAAAAAAAGAAATGCACGTAGGAATTGATTAATTTCTAGGGAAGGGATTTCCCTTCAGAAAGAAAATATTATAGAGAAAACCAATGATAAGGAAACAAGAGAGAAGCTCTATAATTGTGGTGGCGTTGAAGCATTCAAGGATTTTGATCCATAGAATGTTCAGAGAATAATTAACCAGTTTTAAGTGTCTAGTCTGTCCTTAATTGTAACTTACTTGATCAAACAAAAATATATCAACGATAATAATAGTTAATTAATAAACAAAGATCATTAAATTCATGCTGATATTTACAATCCAACAGTTCAGAGCGAGCGAGGGTATTTTTTTTGAACGGGCAGCGGGTTTTCTTTTCTTTTTAATTTCTTCTGAATTGGTGCTTCTAATTAAATCATCAACAAGCACATAAAAAACAAATATATATATATATAGATAGATAGATAACTAAACTAAATATTCCCTTTTATTAATAATAATACTAAAAAGTTGTTTGAAAATATTGATAGTGGTTGTCCTGGTTCAAAGTATTTTTTGTGTGAATATATATTAAAATAATATATTATTTTATTTTTTTAAAAGTATTCTTGACTTTAGCATATTTAAATAATTTGAAAATATTAAAAAAATATTTATTTTTTATAAATAAAATTTAAATTTTAAAAAAATATAATTTCAATTGCGTTTCCAAACACTTTATAAGTTTTTTTTATGTAACTTGTGTTATATATTTTTTTTTTATTTTTGATAATAGTACATTCAAACAATCTAAAAATATTTATACAATATTAATTTTAAACAAAGAAATTTTTTAATTTTTTTTAAAACATGATTTTAATGATGTTTTGGGATACTCTATAAATCTTTTTAGGTAATTTGGTGGCCTTGGAAGGCCACTTGGGCTAGGTGATTGCATTTTCAGATTTTTAAGGGGAAAAAAAAAGATTGATGTTAGGCAGCAATCCACCATATGCTGAGAACTTTCCAAGTTCTCCATCATTCCTCAAATCCAACAACAGATACCTTACTACTATTTTGTTCTTCATGTTATCCCTTGATGCATTTTGAACAAGCTCTAAAACCTAATTAACCCACATAAAATATAAAAAAGCTAACACAGAGAGTTAGGAACATACCCTCATATCTCTCGGTCAGACAAGACAAACAACACAAACTTATACTTGAGAACTTCAGCAGAAAGCTTATTGTTTGTAGCTTGATCAAATAAAATCATGTTGTTCACCTTCTTCTGTGCTTCACCTCCTTCCATTTCTGCATATCAAACCCTTACATCTCATTAAAAATAGCATACAATCATATAGAATCCTTAAAAACGAATAAACATGTTCAGACCATTAGCCTTTTTTGTATCCCATCTCGTTTAGAAATGCAATGAAAATCATGTTTTATAATTTTTTAAAATTTTTTTGTTTAGTTTTAATATTTTTTAATATTTTAGATTATTTTGATGTACTGGTACAAAAAAATAATTTTTAAAAATAAAAAATACTTTAAAAAACAATAATTATTACATTCTCAAACATACACACTATATTAGAAGGATATAAAAGATACTTTGAAGTCAAATGAATTACTCTATGCACTACAACTCAATGCATTATATTTAAAAATATAGTTATGGTTGATTTTTAAAGTGTTTTTCATGTTGAAATATATCAAAATAATTTTTTTATTTTTTAAAAAATTATTTTAAGATTAATGCATCAAAACGATTTAAGATATATAAAAAATGTAATTTTTAATATAAAAAATTAAATTTTTTAAAAATATAAATACAACCATATTTTTAAATACTTACTTAAATGGCTGCATAAATTCCTCACAAAACTTAATCGAATGTCAAGCAACTAATTCAAAGAACAAAAAGGATAAAACTATGATAATAATTCATAAATATTATAACCACAAAACACATCATCACCACTAAACACTAGTTGATTTAATAATAGACAACAGTTTATGACAATCTATTTTAAAAGCTGCCCTAAGATCAACATATAATTTCACAACAATTAAATGCTAAGGTCTGTTGCCTCAGTAGCCCTCATGTCATCATTTAGGAAAAAGTAAGCTAAAAATGAAATCAGGCAATCTATTACGAGAATAATTTTATAAAAAAAATAAAAAAATAAAAAAAATAATTTTTTAATTAATCTATTGTGTGAAATTAAAAATAATAAAAAAATTAAAACATTCTAATTAAACGGTTAAACTTATGATTTAAATTATAAAATTAAGATAATTCTGTAAAAAAATTTACAAAACTTAATCTTTAATAAAACTAATATTGAAAGATGGTGTAATTAAAAATAAAACAATTTAAAAATAAATCTAAAAGAAGGGAGAAATAATGAGGAGGGCAGCATAGAAATTAAAAAAGATGTTTAAGGACAAACCAGCCTTTTCGAAAAAAATTACAAACCCTAGGTTTCCATCAGATAAATACCACACTCGAAGGACTGGCGAGCCGTCTCTCTTTCACTCTGTTAGATTCGTAGCAAATTCAGGGTTTAAGGAGAATCAATTCGAAATCAAAATGGGAGTTTTCACATTCGTTTGCAGGTGCTCTGGTAACGAGTGGAGTGCCAAGCAGATCGCCGAAGGCGATATTGAGGCCTCCGCTTCCTCCACCTTCGAGCTGCAAAGGAAACTTGTCCAATCTGCTCTCTCCGCTGATTCCTCTGGCGGCGTCCAGTCCTCATTCTCTTACGTCACGCCTTCATCCGCCGTTTTCCAGGTCCTCACATTTTCTCTCTTTATCGTTTTGTTTATTTTCTTGCTTTAAAGTACAATTATTTGATTTAGTATCTCATCATGAAGTATATCTTTTGTCCGTTTTGTTAATAAACCTTTTGCTGTTTGTTCAAACAGTTAAGGGTTTTGAAGCATCATCTCATAACCATAAATGCATGTATGTGTGTTGGCTTGCACTGCAGTGAGAAACTTATTCATCTGATCTTTTTCAAGTTATTTTTATTTAATTGAACAATTGTTTCTAATTTGGAATATAATTTAGTTATCTAAATTAGAATTTGTAGGCAAGAATAGTTGTCATATGAGAGTGCAAAATATATGTGGATTTGGCATTCGATGTTAGTTTTAGTTGTCTAATGAGGTGGGTAAATTTTGTTTGGTGCAGGTGATCATTGGTGGTGGCTGCGGTGGAGCCTTCTTTGGCGGTGGTAGTGGAGGTGCAGCAGCAGCTCCAGCAGGAGGTGCAGCAGCTGCAGCTGAGGCACCTGCTGCTGAGGAGAAGAAGGAAGAGGAGCCAGAGAGTGATGATGATATGGGATTCTCTCTTTTTGATTAAGGCGATTGCTTAGTTGATGTGTCGTCGTTGATCTGTCTTGTTTCATTCTGTATGGTTTTGACTCATGTTGCAAAATTTTACTAGCCCTGGTGAATTGGATTTAGATCAGATTAAGTGTTTTTGGATCAGAGGTGGGTATATTGAATGAGTTTATATTTAGCATTTTATCATGTTTTAAGCTTCTGGTTGGTTATTGGAGTGTCTCTTGTTATGTGTCCGCTTGGCTGGCTCTTGTGATGCATGCGAATCGGTTCCTGCCTCTGGTTTGATAGTTGATTTAACTAGAGTGTGGTTTTCTTTATTAAAGTTTTGGGATTAGCATGACTTCGTTTGCAAGTGTTGTTCAATGCAATTGTGAGATTCGACTTGGCTCCAACCTCCGATCTTAATAACATTTAATACAATTAGGGATATCCTTACTCCTAAGATTTGTGTTTTGAAAGGTTCTAGCATGCTGAATGAAAGATTATCAATAGTATTTCCAATGTTTCACACCCCTTCAGGAGGATAGCCACAGATGCTTCCGATGTTAGTATGTTGCAGCTTTTTCTCGTTTTTTTCCGTTTCAACCACAAACCCTCAATGGTAACAGGGTGCATGTTAAAGCAAGCTCCAGAGCAACAAATTTGCTTAGGCCTTGACATTACTTCTGGATTCATCATTGTTGCCGGTAATATAGTTGGAAGGATCGTGGAAGATCCTTGCAACTTGCATGAAGACTCCCTATATCAATGGCGCTTGTATTACTTCTTGAGAATTATTTGAGGCAGCTCTCAGACCGTTTAAACTGAAATAAAAATCAAATTATCAAAAAAAAAAAAAAAAACACATCCAACGTGGAAGTAGATATTGTTTGGTCTTGGTCTTGGGTTTAGATTTGGACATCATCGGAATGGACCAAGATTGTTTGTCTGGGATGCAAGCTCAGCTGTTTAGGGATTTTCTTTCGCGCTAAAAAAAAAAAAAGGGCACTTGGTTTTAATCGCCCGTCTCTCCGATTCTGGACCAATTTTCATGCTTCGTAGCTCTTAATAGATGACTTCGCAGAGTTATTAGCTTGTTGAATCGGCTAGAGCTATTAGCTTCACCTGAATTTTTTTATGATGATTCAGAGGTTTGGAAATATATTTTTTCTTTTTATATTATCGATATTCAGGTGTCCCTCCTCTTCTTTTTCTTCTTCTTTCTTTTAATTTAATTCTTAAAATGCGAAAGCTTCTTGCTTTGCCTGATGATGAAATCCCTAGATCACTCCTCGATATCGATATGTATGTTGCATATTACATTTCCTGTAACCATAACATATGGACCCTCTCTCTCTCTCTCTCTCATGTATGCACCTCCTATATGAATTTAAGCTTTGGAATAGAGCTGATCTTTTACCATTTAGAAAATAACTCTTCCATTGCTTTCATTAATGTTTTGGAATTGAACAAGAGGTCTCAACTTTGATAATTTTGCTGCTTGGCAAAATCAGTCTTTTGTTAAATGGAATAACCTAGATTTCTGTAGTGAAATTAACTGGACTGAAAGACCATGGACGAGGTAGCTAGAATAGTGCTTCAGGGGAGAGCCAAACACGAGTCAGGATTCAGGACCACTGACTTATCCAACAAGATTTTAATTAAGCATTTCTTGATATTACTTCTTCCCTTGCATATTCAATAAGACTTTATTTTGTTGCTGTGGTTTATCCTTTTAATATGCCTGAGTGGGGCGTTAGCTTTTTCTACCTCAAGCATTTGTTGTTTTAAAACCTTGAATTTCTGATACTATTTACATTATTTTTTGGTTAATCATGCATTTACATACCATGGCCATGTCCGCATCTGCAAAATTTAGTTCCAGAGTTTTTGACCCTTGGATTCAAATATTTACTGTGATTATTTTGGACTTTTTCAGGCTGCGGATCAGGACTTTGTGGGGAGGCATTAACTGAAAATGGTCATCGATGCAAGATTTATTGTTATTACGATGGAATATGCAATCAAACTTGCAAGCTTATTTTCCATGGGATTCAATTTATATTTATCAATGGAATGATTATCTTTTGTTGCAGGGCATACCACTTCGACACCTGGAGTTATTGATGGTGCCATCAGTATTTCAGCTGTTCAGGTTTTACTCTCTAGTATGCTTTTGACATGTATGCATGTACTATGCAAGTGTTTTTTTTTAGAACTTGTCCATAAAATTCATTTGCAATTCAGTATTCTTGGCGAACCTCATCTAATTCTTACTATGCTTCCCGTAGTCATCTTCTGACATTCCACCTATACGAAGTTATTTCAGTTAGGCATAGGCTTGTCTTTTGCTCATCCTGTTTAACTTGCATTTTCCTTGTGTTTTTTAATTAACACATCACTTAATAAAAGAAATAAAAGGTTGACATTCATGAATTAGTCATAGCCTTCCCTTGAAAAAGAGGAAATTGTGGAGCAAGTTACAGTTTTTCAAGGCAAAACGTTTGATACATTGCTAAATTTAGTTTTTAGTTGGAACTTGGAAGGTCATGACTAGTCTCTCTCCTTACCCTACCTGTTTATTACTTCAACTAAGGACTAGGAGCCAAAGCATGCTTATGCTTTACCCCTTCCTTTCTTACTGAGATTTTTATAGAGAAAGTAAATTAATGTTGCAAGGCGGACCATTCTAGATGGCAGGAATTTTTAATCGGACAGACAATTAGCAGTAAATCTTAAGTGGTTGGATGAGTGGGAAAAATGAGATTTTGGGGAGGATGTTTTAGAGAAGTTATGATATTAAAATTACGGGTCTATGGTTTCCCTGTGAAAGTCACTAACTGAATTTGATTTGTTTCTTTAATTTTTATTTCCATAATACATAAACTTGAACCTCTATTCTAATAGAACTGTCAATGTTTACAGAATTGCACTCTGGAGCTGGTAAGCTGGTCTGGTGATGCTTCTCCTAGCCTCTTATATTTCCATATCTTTTTGCATTTCCTTTGTATGGGTTGTTTGTCTATGGAGTGCCTTTTGCTAACCTTATTCTTTTGACTTTCAATTTGGCTCCTAGTGGTTATGCAAAGCCGATAAGTCCTTGCATGAGCCAAAACTAAGACTGAAGCAAGTTCCTTCTCTTCTCTTTTCTGTTTTTGGTTCATGTAGTCTGTCAACTATCAAATCTTGTTTGGGGTCAACTTTGGGCTTGGTTTCTTCTGTATATTTTTAGAGACAAAACTGGGGTTCATTAATGAAAAGAAATAAAGTTTAATACATCTATTACAGACAACTCAAAAATAAGGCCAGAAACTTGTTCTCGAAAAGGACAATCTCTCGGTTCCCTGATGTGTTGTGAGCTAGATAATGAGCTAAATTTCTAGATTGTTAAGGAATGAAGCTGAAACTTGAGTCCTGGAAGTTTGAGCCAATGCCTCTGATATCTGCAATGGTGAGTCCAATATAAGTTGCCTGGGGTCTGCTTCTGCTGTTTACTACCATGCTGACAGTCTGAATGTCACTTTTAATATCTAATTCAAGCAAACCTGCATCCCTGACCAGCAGAAATCAAAATAAAATTGCTCGAGCTTAAAAAAATTCCACTGATGCTTGACCGCTTAGTGTTTTGATGCATCCCTAATGTTCATTCCCTCTTCATCACAGACACCACCACCCAAACCAACTGAGCTTCCATCAAACATTGCAGCCTCAGTATTGAGTTTATATAGAGGAGCTTGCAAAGGGATCCACGCTCAAGCTTACAAGAAATTCAATTCGACTATACTCACAAATTTAAACAAATTTTGTTGCATTCGATTAGATTTCAATCAACAGTAGCTAATGATCAACATTACCCATTTGATTTAGTATCTTTGAATCACTGACGCCTATTTTTTCCCCATTGTTAAATCGAATGATGTTTTTATCGCAGGGCATTCTTTGGATCATTATATAGATTTAGTATCTTTGAATCACTGACGCCTATTTTTTCCCCATTGTTAAATCGAATGATGTTTTTATCGCAGGGCATTCTTTGGATCATTATATAGATTTAGTATCTTTGAATCACTGACGCCTATTTTTTCCCCATTGTTAAATCGAATGATGTTTTTATCGCAGGGCATTCTTTGGATCATTATATAGATTTAGTATCTTTGAATCACTGACGCCTATTTTTTCCCCATTGTTAAATCGAATGATGTTTTTATCGCAGGGCATTCTTTGGATCATTATATAGATTTAGTATCTTTGAATCACTGACGCCTATTTTTTCCCCATTGCTAAATCGAATGATGTTTTTATCGCAGGGCTTTCTTTTGATCATTATATAGATGTTTGGCAAGAGGAGCGAGAGCAGTGTTTCAAGTGTATCCTGAAAACATAGCCCAGCGTGAATTAATTTTGAGACCTGCAATGCATGCTGGATTTGCTGGTGGTGTGGTTATTGATTACCCACACAGGTATGCTAGCCTCTATTTAAAACTCTCATGATGGGCTTTTCATGACTGATAAGGAGAAGCTTAGAAATATTGTTTTTCATATATTAGGTTTTCGCTTGGCTTTGATCGTTCCAGCCCTTTCCAATCCTGTAGCCTGAATGTTCGGGTTGGGATTAAAAGCATATATCCATAGAAGGTTGCAACTTTTTCAAGAATATGAACCTTGAAAGCATGATGTGCTAGATGCTAATTGTCTGCTAATCTTCATTTCATCATGCACGGGCATTCACCTCTCTATCAATTTGCTTTACATTCTGATATGTCATTTTCTTGGGCTGCTTTGTCTTGTATTTTTTGTTTTGTTCAGGCGTCAACTGGGATTGTTTGTAAGCATAGTATCCTTTTCTTTTTAATATGGGGGTTTTCATTCACTAATTATTATATATGCATTTACCGTGGGAATGCAGGTATGCATTCCAGACAAGAACAGACCTAAGAAAAAACGGAAAATAACCAGGAAAGGGTAGTACAGAGAATGGATATTTAAAAAGAAAGAGCAACTGAGAAGAAAAGGAAACGTTGTGCCTCCTGACACCAGATACACTGGTCGAAAACGAAAGGATCGATTTTGATCCTTACATTACATGTGAAGCCATCCTATAGGAAAACTATAAATATAAATCATCATGTATGCTGACCTTCATGCATTTCCTTGCTCGTTCCTGCTGCTGCTCGGTGAATCCATGCTGAAGATCAATCACATCGTGTAGATAGCCAGCATAGAATACTTGATCAGGCAAGTGTGAAATCAGAGGGCGGAAAATGATTTTTCTAGCCAACGCATGAATCTAGTGTCCATCTATTTCTTATAATATATCTATCTATTAGTTACAAACAGCTTGAGCATACTTAACATACGGTTTCTTCTTTTCCTAGATGACCAAGGCAGAGAAACGAACCCCCCCGCCGTGTTTTGTTACTTTACGCCAAGATGAAAAACAAACAAACACAAACTGTAGAAGTACGCAAGCCATACACTGCAAATGTTGTTGATCACACAAATGGGGACACAGTTTGGTTCGTGAACCTTACTGCGTCGATGAAAAGGCCGAATGGAGAACTTTTGGCAATGATGATGAGACTGATGAACATGATCCCAACCGCGGTGTTTCTCTCTCAAACCCTCTTTTAACTCATACCACACTAACAGCTACAATCTCCAAGCCTGCCAAAGGGTATTGATGCTGCTACTACTGTTGTCGCATTTTCCAAGAACTGGTTCGAAACCATTCAATCAATAGCTAGTAATTGAATGTATCTCTGAAAATAGTGTTCTAAAATGTTTTTTTTTATGTTTGTTAATATATTAAAATAATATTTTTTGTTTTTAAAATTTATTTTTTACATTAGTATATAAAATTTTTTTAAAAAAATTTTAATTTAAAGCAATTTTTTTTTCAAAACATAACAAAACAACAATTCAATTATATCACTAAGTCTCGAGCAATTGATTATTTTAAGGGTAAGACACAAAGCTCTATTTGAAGCAATTTTTTTTAAAAAAATACACTACTTAAGTTATAGACTGAATTGGATCAAATAAGATAAGTGTAATTTAATTAGATAAAAAAATAAATGAATTAAATTTAAAAAAAAGAAGCTTATTAGGATAACTTGAAGATTTCTTTTTTAAGAAACAAGTGATATATCTCAATTCATAACTTATTAAATACAAAAATAAACTTAATTTTATCAGTATTTAGTTTCTCAATATAATTAATAATTTTTCATCAATAATATTTTGATTTAATATTAAAGGATATAATATGTCTACCATGTTAAATCATGTTTGTACATAATAGTCGTTGATCGTTTGAATAAAATTTAAAACTCTTTTTAAATTTCATTTTATTTTGACTAATGATTTCTTAGTCAATACTATTTAAGAATAAATAAAATAATTTTTTATAATTTATATAGATATAGGGTGATGAATATTTTCTTGATCACTCAAGTACGATCATATAGTTCATGTTATAACCAATATCTTTTTTTTTTTGTTACCTTAATTAAGATAACATATAACATTATCAAAGCATAACATTCTATATAGAAGACGATTTGGTGATCTAAGTTTAAGGATCATTTACATAACCATCACGTGAGTTTTTTTATAGATATAAGTGATATCTTCATATGTAATTTTTATGCGAGTCAGTTCAGTATACATGTCTTATGACAAGCAATTATATATTAAGTTTAGGTATCCTTTATACCACAACTTATAAGAACAACTGTTTCTTTTCATAAAAAAAATACCATAATATTTACTAGTCTTTATAGTTCTAATTAATATCTAATATCCAAGAGAATATCCACCATAAATATTTTAGAATAAATACTTTGATGTAATAGAGATCATATAATTCTAATAACTATATATTTTTTTCAAAGTATTTTTATCTTATAAGCTTTATATTTATTCTAGATTTATTTAATATAATATTATATGTATAGATATTAAAAATAAATTTAATTTTTATTAATAATAAATATATATATTTATTGGTGAACAATGAGAAGTGTCCATGCCTCTATTGCTTTAATGATGCCGTTTAGTTTTCTTTAATTATGATATTGAAGAAATTTAGTTTAACTAGATTTTTTAATGCAATCCATCTTTCATTTCTATTTTCTTTACGCCACTAGGAGATTTGCTAGAAAAATTATAAGCATCTGCTTTTGATCACAACATGGCATGTGGTCCCACTTAAGAGTCAAATCAATACATGAGAAAACACTTATAAGACAACACAACATGCTTCATCGAGCATGCAGCCCTTTTTTAAAAAAAAAAAATGGTTTATTTGTGGAAGTAAATGCTAGTCTTAAAATGGGTTTGAACGACGCTGATGTAATTACGAAAACTAAAGTCAACGAAAGTAAAAATATAAATAATAAATAAATTGAAACATGAAGCTCGAGGCCAAAGTTATACTTGCCATGCAAGTATTGCCTTGAAAGATATCTTTCGATAAATTAAATTAAATTAAATACAAAAATATGACACCTCGGGACAAATGAAAAGACAACCTTCTCACGTGTCATCGAATTACCGAAGTCATCACGGCAATTACAAGTAACGGCACATCACTCCATGACTGCCCCTGTCGCTTTATCCTCCACAGCAAGAAATTTCCGTCGACTGGTTACCTGTAGATTCATTCGGGCAGCCGGTGCTCATATGACGCCCCGTGTAAGAGATAAGGCTGCTGTCCTGGCACCCACAAAACATTATTTTAAAACCCGATCCGAATAATGGGTTAAATCATGACCCGGGTGACGCAGGACTTAAGTCGAACCGGGGTTCCAGTAAAAAAAGAAAAGTACGACGGGATCCAGTTAAAACTATGCACTAAACAAATAATTTACTACAACATCGGAGATGTGATTGGGAATGTCCAAAGTCTTGCGGTAGTGGCGGGTCAGATTTTCTTTATGGTATCGATATTTTGAGGACCTAAACAGGTAAAAGAAGGTATATAGACGCAAAAGGGGTTGTCTTTTCTTCTTTTACGGAGGAAAACGCGCCACTCATTTGCTAGTCAGTCAGCGCCTCTCTTAATCTTATCCTTCATTAATAGGGTTTCCTCGGTTTCTCAGGTATGTCAATCATTCACTTCTACTCTTTCATTTACTGTCTCAGAGTTCAATTTGTCATGATTATTTAATCTTATTAGCTGAAACTTTGGATCCTGATTGTAATTTATTAGTTTTTCTTATGGAGTTTTGATGTTTTTCTGAGTTTTAGTTTCAAGTAATGAAAAAGATTGTAACTTTATACGTTTAAAGAGCTCAAAAGCTTAGTTTCTGTCAGTTAAATTGTGGATATTGATTGAGTTGATTTGGGGTTCGATAATAGATGGGTTCGGATTCTCGCTACACTGAATTCCCTGGTTCAAACAAATTTGAGGATGAGATCGTGTTTCCGGTTTCGAATCAGTATCAAAATGTTACTAATGGATTCAAAATTGAAGATTTAGACCTCGACCATTTAGAAAATCCACTTGTTTTGCCTGACCCTGAGCCGGGTAACCCTGCTTTGTCATCGATCATGAGCATGGATGGAGATTCTCCTTCTGATGATAACGACTCGGAGAATCTCCTCAAATACATAAGCCAGATGCTTATGGAAGAGAACATGGAAGAGAAGCCCTGTATGTTTCATGACGCGTTGGCTCTTCAAGCTGCTGAGAGATCACTTTATGATATTCTTGGTGAGAAGAACCTGCCCTCCTCACCTCATGAATCTCCTTCTTATGGTGATCAATTTTTGGTTGATAGCCCAGATGATAATTTTTGGAGTAGCCGCATTGATTATAGTAGCAATAGCAGTTCTACTTCCAATACTGCTAGTTTGGTTGATCCTCAATGGAATGGTGAGTCTGGGGAATCCAAACCATCGTTTATGCAAATGCCTCTTTCTACTAACTTTGTTTTCCAGTCTGCTGCAAATCCCAGTTCACAATCATCATTCAAATTACACAATGGGTTTGCAAGTAATAGTGATAGTGCCATAAAGCCCTCTGTGGGTAACATTGTGGTACAGAATATTTTCAGTGACGGTGATTTGGCATTACAGTTCAAGAGAGGTGTAGAGGAAGCTAGTAAGTTCCTTCCTAAGGGTAATCCACTGGTTATTGATTTAGAGAACAGTTCATTGGCACCAGAGATGAACAGAAATGCCCCAAATTTGGTAGTGAAGGCTGAGAAGGAAGACAAGGAGTATTTGCCTGAATGGTTGACAGGAAAGAAGAATCATGAGCGGGAGGATGGAGATTTTGAGGAAGAAAGAAGTAACAAGCAGAGTGCAGTTTATGTAGAAGAGAGCGAACTGTCAGAGATGTTTGATGTGCTATTAGGAGTTGGGGATGGATGCCAGCCACGTCAGTGTGCACTTCATGATGCTGAACAACGTGAGTCAGGCAAGACTTTGCAGCAGGATGGGCAAACAAGGGGAACTAATGGTAGCAAGACTAGGGCTAAGAGACAAGAAAATAACAAGGAAGTTGTTGATTTGAGGACTTTTCTAATTCTTTGTGCGCAAGCAGTCTCTGTGAATGATTGCAGAACTGCTAATGAACTGCTGAAGCAGATCAGGCAGCACTCTTCACCTCTCGGTGATGGATCTCAGAGGGTGGCGCATTGTTTCGCTAATGCCCTTGAAGCACGTTTAGCCGGAACTGGTACCCAGATATACACAGCTTTGTCTGCCGGAAAAACATCAGCTGTGGATATGTTGAAAGCTTATCAAGCTTACATTTCAGCTTGCCCGTTTAAGAAGATTGCTTTTATCTTTGCAAACCATAGTATTCTGAATGTGGCTGAGAAGGCATCTACACTTCATATAATAGATTTTGGTATATTGTATGGTTTCCAGTGGCCTTCCCTTATCTATCGCCTCTCATGTAGATCTGGTGGTCCTCCCAAACTGCGCATTACAGGAATAGAGCTTCCCCAAAGTGGTTTCCGGCCAGCAGAGAGAGTTCAAGAAACAGGTCACCGCTTGGCAAAGTATTGTGAGCGCTATAATGTTCCATTTGAGTACAATGCCATAGCTCAGAAATGGGATACCATCCAAATTGATGACCTGAAGATTGATCGCAATGAAGTTCTTGCTGTAAACTGTGTCTTTAGATTTAAAAATCTGCTTGATGAGACAGTTGTAGTTAACAGTCCCAGGAATGCTGTTCTAAACTTAATCAGGAAGACAAAACCAGATATATTTGTCCAGGCTATTGTCAATGGATCGTATAATGCTCCATTTTTTGTCACAAGGTTCAGGGAGTCACTGTTCCATTTCTCTGCTTTGTTTGATATGTTAGATACTAATATGCCCCGTGAAGATAAGATGAGGTTGAAGTTTGAAAAAGAGTTCTATGGTCGGGAGGTTATGAATGTCATAGCGTGTGAGGGCTCAGAGAGGGTTGAGAGACCAGAGACATACAAGCAATGGCAAGTTCGGAACATGAGAGCTGGGCTGAAGCAACTTCCCATGGACCCTCTTGTCATCAAGAAATTGAAGTGTAAGGTGAAGGCTGGGTACCATGAAGATTTTGTGGTCGATGAAGATGGCAACTGGATGCTGCAAGGATGGAAGGGACGGATTGTCAATGCATCCTCTGCTTGGATTCCTGCATAGGAATGCGGTAGCTTGTTCTTGAGAGCCCGCAGAGTTGGCAGACAAGGGTTTTTCTTAGTTAAAGCAGTCCATGTCAGCAGATTCTAGTTAC